AAAAAAAAAAGAGAGAAAACTGATTTGACCCATATACATTGATAAAATACTTTATTAAAAAATACATAGTGTTACATTCACATAGTAATCTCCATACTATAATAAGCTGAAAAATTTAGAGAAATACATTACAGTGACTTGCGTACACAGAATTAATTCCTAGCCACCTAGATGGTACAGTCAAACGGCACAAAATTCCATATTTGGACTCTTCTTTATTAAGAGTATGAAGTGGCCAGAAGGGGAAGCAACAGACTAAATGAAAAATACCGACTGAACTAATGGATGGAGCAGGAAGGATACTGAGGGAGACAAAAAGCAAAGAAAGATGAAGCAAAGCCAAAAGCGGTTGCGGGACGCAGAGCAGGAAGGACAACACTGACAATGCAGGGCAGATATTCCGGAGAGGAACAAGGCCATGTGAAACAAGTCAATTTGTAGGACAGAATACCAAGCGCAGAGAATCCAGGGGACAAGACACACAAAACAATAAGAGCTCAGGAAACAGAAAAGACAAAATTAGCCAGTAAACATGGCTCATTACCTACGTAATCTGCGAGGCTAACTTAACTCCTCGATTCAGAAACACTCACTGGAATGGCACCAGGCACTCTGAACATAAAACTTAGCCATAAGAACGGAAAAATTAAGTGTGAGGTCCCCCTTGCTCTGTTTGTCACCGAGTAAAACACAGAGCAAGGCTGCTGAGAAGTTTTAATGTCACACCTCTGGTATTTCATTGCTATTTTGCCATAAAAGTGGGAGTTGAGCACTGGAGCTTTCGTGCAATGAGATTTTGAAATTCTCCCACTGGATTTAAATAACAAAAATGTTGAAATAAAATTTTTATAAAAAGACAGAGAATGAGAAAGAATTACTCTTCCTGGCAAGAAGTGTGTATGTCTTCGGGGTATTAGGTATTTAAGACATTATGACTAAACACAGGTAATATTTATTGTCACTCAATCCTCCAGAAAATAATTTTGTAGCATTTAACTCACAGGTTAGAAACAACACAGAGTCTACTGTCTACTCCAAGTCCATACAAATTTTGTTAAAAAAGCATCAGCACAGAAATATTTGCATCCTGTGAGCGGGCATCCCAACGGCAGCTTTGTAAAGTGGAGCAGGAGCCACAGGTAGGTGGAGCAGGAGCCACAGGTCAGCTGCTAAACCTGAGCTCCACAGTTCGTCCTCAGGTTTTACCCTTCCACTTCACGTCCCCTCCAGCTTCCCTCTCCCAAACGGGTTCCAATTACCCTTTTTCTTACAGACGTTCCTCGAAAAGCTCTTAGAAGCCACCACAACTTCTATAAAGCCATT